CGCTGCTGTTACCAGACCTCCTGTGTCGTCCACCACCAGCCATCTGCCTCCTCCCACCTGACTGACCCCGTCTTCTGCTGTTTGAACTCTGCTGGTCGCTCCGCAGTGAATGTTTGCCCAGCTGCAGATCAAGCCTAGCAAATCCTCCCTGAGCTCCATGATCTTGTATGCTTCTTTCTCCAAAACATACTCGGTGAGCACGCCCACATCCATTGGGAGCGCAGTAAAGCGCTTGAGGTATTTCCGCGATTTTCGTAGCGTGTATTTGGCCAGCGAGAACGACGTCTTTTCGTCTATTGCGTTATGCGACGCCATGATTTTCGCAATGATGTCCTTGCCAGATCCTGTTCCAGCCTTTTTCAGCTCTTCAATTTCCTCCATGGACAGCCCTTGGCGTGATGCGTCGTCTATGGTGAGGCGGTTGTTGCGCATAATGACCTCGCCATCGTCGCCTACAATATCGAAGCCAGCGCCGCCCTCAGCAGTCTCGTCGCTCGTCTCGGCGGCGGGCGCGTGGTCGCTGCCAAGTGCTTCCGCGTGAAGTTCTGCGGCAGGTACGACTCGCAGTTCTGTCTTCGACCTGCCATCGTCCTTGTCGAGGAGCTCGTAGGTGAGATAGTATGGTCGTCCGAGCAGGAGGTTCGAGTTGAATGTTCCGAATTTCCCCAGATTTATGCTTCTACGATGATGTTAGATACGGTCGCATAGTGTGCGCGCAGAAGCTCACTCTAGCTACCATGCGACGTACTGGTTCGGGGTGATTTCGACGATCTTGAAGAGGCCAGACGGGAGCCGCAGCGCAACGTGCGTGTTGGGGCGGACATGGGAATGCATTGCGCCGGTGGAGGTTGTGTGTTCCTGCCGTGTATCCGAATATCGTTACCTAGCCATGGGGGTAGCCAAGAAGAGGCAAAATTATTGAGTCACGGCGTCGGTGGTGCTGTGGTTCTCGCGCAAGTTTGACTTGTCGAATGGTGAATTTGCTGCAAGGATCTGGAGGCGTTCCCCACAGCGGTCCACTCGCAGAGAGGCTGGTGCCGGGGACTCCCCAGCCACACATGTGGCTGTGCCAGCGTCGTCATCGCTGCTTCGGCGTCCTGCTCGCAACATAGACTACTATCGTCGTGCCTACGGCCGCGTATGCCTCTACGCTGACTACCACGCCGCCCAACAACGTCGCCACATGGTTGCACTACCTCCCGTCCCTCCGCATTCTTCACGTCTTCCTACCTAATTCACTGCACTCACCCAAGACACGCCCAGTACCTGCGCTACCTACTTTCCGCAAGCTCGTGGCACGCTGCTGCATCATAGCTTGGTACTCCAACAACCGCCATGGTGCTCCGGAAAGAAGAGGGGCCGGACCAGCAGCCTGATCTCGTTCCCGCGCCGCTCTCCAAAGCAAACCCTCCTTATCCAACTACACCTCTCGATGAACTCGGTCCCGCTGGCCCTTTCAAACCCAACGATGCGCCGCACGCAAATCCACCCACCAGCTCTACCCCGGCTTTCAACATCAAGACGTCAGGCAATGCGCCGCAGTCCAATCTACCCAACAGCCCAGCTCCGGCCTCCAACATTAAGACACCCGACGATACCAAGAAGGAGAACCTGAAGGAAGACAGCGACTCCGACTATAGTGACGACGAGTGGGATAGGTCTGACGATGACGACGATTTCGAACAAGTCCACGCCAAAGACGTACCCGATGCGCTGAAGCCTGCGGGAGGAAAGGCACCTGCCGCAAACAACACATTGCCAGATGCATTGAGAGCAGGGCCCCCAGCGGGAATTCCCATCAAGCGGTCGTCGGAGAACATATCTCCCATGCCCACAGGGGCTAGCTCCGCCTCGTTCGGCGCCATGAGCACTGTGTCAGAGCAGTCAAATGGCTCTATCCCGCTGCAGACGAACAATCCATACCTCAAGGCACAGCAGACGGGTCAGAGTAATTGGGGTGGTGAAACAAGCCAGCAGATCTGGGGAGACTCTCAAGCGCAGAGCTCCAAATATGACCCGGTCGAGCTGCCCGCCTTTCAAACACCAACGACACCTTCTCACGAAATGGGCAACCTCAACTTGGACAAGAAAGAGTCGTTGGACCAGCCTCCACTCATTGCTGTGAAGTCACCCACTCCATTGACAAGCCCTCAAACAGCATTCCCTCCGCAAGACTCGATCGCTGCAAATCCTTGGGGTGAGGCTCCGCAGGTATCTGATCCAACGACTGCCGGACAAGATGTGTCCAAAGGTAGCCAGCGTGTTGATCATCAGCAAGCATGGCCGCAGGAGCAGTCTTGGGCACAGAGTGGAGCTCACAGCAAAGAGCCAGATCGTCTTCTGGAGAAGACTTCCACGAACCCCTTTGCCCCTCCGCCGCCCTCGAACGCGCCGCCTCCGCCACCGTCAGACTTCCCTCCTCCTCCACCAATTGTTGCCGGGGAAGAAGAACGACCAGCACTCCCACCGCGACACGAAGAACATCCACCCGCCATGCCACCGCGGCCGATAAACACAAACATCGGCTCCGTTGCCTCACCCGGCCCCGAATCGCCGAATACCAAAATGAATCGGCAGCGCAAAGAACACTACCAAATCAAGCACATCAGGTGGCATGATGTCAACAAGCCTGGCATACGCACATCGCCCATCCTGACGCAAAACTTGAACGGACCATGTCCATTACTTGCCCTGGTTAACGCACTCATACTTTCGACCCCATCCGGAATCGAGACAGCGTTGGTGGAGACGTTACGGACCCGAGAGCAAGTCAGCCTTGGCTTGCTTCTTGATGCCGTGTTCGACGAGCTGATGTCGGGTCGACGAGGAACAGCCGCACAAGAGCTGCCCGATGTTAGTGACTTGTACAAGTTCTTGCTTGCCTTGCATACCGGTCTGAACGTCAATCCCATGTTTGTTCCTGACGACGATGCAAACAACGGTAATGCAACGCTTACAAGCCATGCGGCCAATGTTGGAGGCTTCGAAAACACCCCAGACATGAAGCTGTATCGCACCTTCAACATTCCTCTCCTTCACGGCTGGCTACCTGAGCTCAACTCTGAAGCTCAGAGCGCATTCAAGCGTGTGGCAAGGTCATATGATACATCGCAATACGTACAGTTCCAGGAAGAAGAGCTCGACGCGAAGCTACAATCAGGCGAGTCTTTGACACCGGACGAGCAGCAGATGTTTACGGATATCCACTCGATCAAGGAATTCCTCAACCGATGGCCTACTCAGCTTACCGAGCACGGGTTGAAGAGTCTGAGGGGAAGCATTCAGTCTGGCCAGGTCGCAATCCTTTTTAGGAATGACCACTTTTCCACTCTCTTCAAGGATCCACGTACGGACAAGCTTTTGACTCTTGTTACGGATCAGGGCTATTCTAGTCATGACGAGATTGTATGGGAAAGCCTGGTCGATGTCAATGGCCAAGGAAGTGAGCTGTTTTCGGGTGACTTCCGACCTGTCGGTAACCACGCTCCACCTCAGCAACAGAGTCAAGGCTTGATCGATGATGATAACGGTCAAGGCTGGACTACGGTACCTTCGCGCCGTGGAGAACAGCAGTCTGCTTCTACCCGAGAGCCACAGCACGGCAATGAGCCTACGTCACCATTGAGTAGGGCTGAGCAAGAAGATCACGATCTCGCCCTCGCGCTGCAGCTTCAAGAGGAGGAAGAAGACCGTCAACGCCGCGAGGCGGCCCAACGTGAGCGCGACAACCAAGCCTCTGCCAATGCTATACAAGCACAATCCCAGGCTCGACCTCACAATCGCCGCACATCTCATGGCGAGGCCCCGCCTGTCATCCCACCACGCCGCAACAACATCACAACACATCGACCCGCTGGTGAGGCTGCGCCACCTCCGACGTACGAGGAGGCGGCAACGACACCGCAATACCATCCTCCTCAGGGTCATCCCGCAAGCACCCATGCCCCTCTGCCGCAACCAGGTGGAAGCGCGTATCAGGTGCAGAATGGCGGCATGCCCCATCGTCCTCCTGGACGCCCAATGCAGCCACAGGCCCGGCCTGGAAGAAGGCACAGTGCGGGTGTCATGGGTCCAAATGGGCCTGAAGACCGCGAGCGGTGTATCGTGATGTAGTGGCGAGACTATTTCTGTTGTCAAAAGCATGTAGGCTAATCGGTCTGTGGCGTTAGGACTTGTGTACCACCGGAATGCGTCGTTAGTTGAGGAGTTGGAGAGGATGCATGTAGTTTATACCCTTTTTATGTTTTTTCGTGGAGCAAGCGAGGCGTAGATTGGTGTAGGATTATATAGAGAACTGGAACAATATGCCAACCAACCATGACTATGAACACAAACGTACTGTCTACTATCCGAAGTTCAATTTAGTGAACTCGTGCTGCTCCCCCACTTTGACCATGGTCGCTTCGCAAGTACTTGTTTGATGCGTTAACTTTGTTCGGAACTCTGAGCGATTTCGCCTACTGATAAGACTGTACGCGTAGGCAAATTATTTGAATACTGAACAAGAGAATCCAAACCACGCATCTATAATCATCAAATATGCGTAGTGATCTTGACGCATGTGTCTGCCAGCCAGCAAGTTCGTCGCATCGGCCAAGTGCGCCAAATCTTCGGACGAATCAGCATCCAACCAAATTTTTCTGCCCTTTAGGAGAAATGCAATATCGTCCCAAGCTTCATTCCTTTCTCTCTTGTAAAGGCCATTCCTTATACATTTCATTCTGTTACTCGCAACAATTAATATACCTTTTCTGCTATTCTTCCCAGCTTCCCACGCCCCATAGTCCCGAGGTCAATTTTCGTCCACACAGCTCAAGCTCCCCTCCGCTCCACTGAGGGGTAACCCTCCCCGCAACCCCACCTTTGCTCACGCACGTCAGCTGCCACGTATGCTTGACAAACATATGCAGTTCACTTGTAGCTGGTTTAAGATGGCAAACTTCAATGCTTTCATGAATGGCTAGTACATCTATTATCTTACTTGACAACTTTCTATCCTCGCATCGATAGTTTAGGGGTAGAATTGAAGCTTCCCAAGCCACTGCTGGTCTGCTTCAGGCACGGGTTCGAGTCCCGTTCGATGCATGTTCGGACGAAAGTCTTTTTTTGCTTGTGGTGGCTTCGTTGGGATGAGGGTTGGCCAAGGTGGAGGTGAGGGTGGGCTGGTGATGAAAGCTTGCGAGGAAAGTGTGTGGTTTTTGCTATTGGAACATCATGAATCCGACTAGTGCTCAGTGCTTCTGAATTGTCGCATCCAGGCTTGAGACAATTGGTGACATCGAGAATGGAGAACATGAGTAGCATGAATTTCATTCCTAATCATTGGCATCATACCATCATATCACCGCCCTCATCGCAACTCTACTTCTCCCCACTCTCGCAACTCTTCACCTTCTTCAGCCCATTCTTCTCCATCTCTACACCCACCAACGTCATCGTATCCGTACCAGCAGTAGGTCTTCTCACAACCTTCTCAATGGCAAGCTCCTCCTCGCTGCCCTCTTCCAGCGTCGTCTCCGTGATATCCGTTCCCGTCTTGCGTAGCTTGCCCCATCTGGCGAAGCGCTTTCCTTCACCAGGCTTCAGCACCAGCGACGACTCAACTGGTAGCTCGCGGAGATTCTCGCCATCGAGTGTGATGGGAATTTCTTGGTCGAGGTACTTCCAGCAGCCCTGACCCTGCGCTTCGAAGGCGCGGCGCTGGAGCTGGAAAATACCGTCTTGGACCCAGTGGTCAATGCGGGGAGCGAGGGCGGCGCGGAAGCGGGCCATGAAGATGAAGAAGCGGAGGATCAGGGTATTGATGAGGGTGACGGTCGTTGAGAAGGCGATGATGAAGGTAAGGGCGAAGACGTTGATGTTGCTGGAGGTGGTTAGCTAGTTTACTTTACTCGCGCAATGTAGATGTACTTACGCAAACGATCCAGACTTGCGCATCTTTAATGATTTACACATATCCCTATCGCCTTCATTGTCGACAGGCTCGGTGTAGTCTTTCGCGTACTCGTCATAACTGGCTGGTCCGCTAATGGCTGCGGCAATGAGTGCTTGATAGCTCGCCCATACGCGGGCTTCCCATGCAATGACTTCTTTCTTCCAGTGGTCGCTCGGCAGCCCCGGAGAGAAGTTGTCGAAGAGATAACTTTTAGCTTGAATGGTCTGCGTCTGTGCGCCGTCTTCGATACTGGCGAGTCGCGAGATGGAGCGGAGAAGCTGGAGAAGGCTACGCTGCACGGGCTTAAGCTTAGGGAAGCCTTCAGTGAAGTCGTCCAGCGGACTGCCCGACAACGGTGTGCAGAAGTCTTCGGTGCCTTCTTGAGGAATGCAGTATCGGTACTGTAGAATTTCAGCAAACATTCTATCACATCTATTGTGCGAGCAACATACCTGCTGAGCGCATCCAACAACACCAGCAGCAAAGTCAGACTTGTATTTTGTTTCATTGGGATATCCGCCTCCTGGCGTATATATCCACACCTTGTGTGCGGAAAACAACGGGTCATCCACGGGTTTCTCGTAAGTCACATCATTGAGCCATACAGCAGCCAGTGCTATATCAGCGTCGGTACGTCGCATCTCTGGTATAGGATCGATCCCAATGGCAGCCACGTCCGGTTGCAGATAGCTGAATATCGACGATGAGCCATAGGATTGCTGGTACAAACTCAGAGCGTTTGCTTGTATGAACGTCGCTTCTGGTCGCAGTTCTGGATCTGTATTCCTGTAGGTCCCGTACTCGATGGTAGTTTTGGTGTCCGTGAAGCCACGTGCCTTCCACCAAGACGCGTTCCTCTCTACGATATGGTTCTCAATCGGGAGAACACTGCATGTTGTCTTCTTCTGTAACTTGACTGTATCTTGAGGCTGTAGGTTGAGACCAAAATGAGTTCTCAGATCAACCATGCCTGCATCCATGAGCAACGCAGGAAGATCACCACCACGGCAAATGGTCTCGTTCCAGGGGCAAGGTGCAGCACTAGCGTGGAACGTTATGTTGGTACGAGCGAAGGTGTTGCGGCACGGTTCTGGTAGCGAAGGTTTGTCTTGGTAGCAATTTGTTCCGTACGTATCGACGGTGGCCTTGATAGCCGCTAGTAAAGTGGAAGTGGTTCTGTTCTCGTACACTTTGGTGTAATTGATACGTCCGCACATGGGACTGTCAACCAGAATCTCAATGTTGGAACTGTCAATGGCGAATGCGGTTGAGATACCAGCTGCGATGGAGGCGATGGCAAAACTCAGTGCAATGAGGAAAGGAAAAGACGAGCGGAGGAAGGCCCGAGGAAGCTTGGATCTCCATGCCCATGCCAACTTGATTGTATCGGCCATGAGCGCTGTCGGAGTTGGCTGTACCAAGTCAGTAATGTCTCAAACATACTTCATACAGGGATATCTTGCCATTGTTCGGAGCAGTGCCTGATGTTGCCAATTAAGACCGTCTGCATCTTTGCCGGTTGCACAAAATTGGTGGTAGAGAAACGTGCATATGTTCCAGAATTGGGCTGTGCCCACAGACGCCATTATGGTAAGGAGTGCAACAATGATAGTACCGGTTCTCGTCTCCACCGTAAGAGTTTGCCCCAGGATATCGCCATGTTCCTGGTTGATCCAAAATCTAAGCTGTTAGCGGACTGATTCTGTTAGCTAGAAACAGTGCTTACCCTCTCTTTACAAAGCGATTCTCCACTTCAGACATGATGGAACAAAGACTACTCTTGCTTATCCTAAGACAAAGCTACGGTGGGGTATACAGGATAATAAGCTGACTGCCACACCCATGATAGTCGCTCCGCGAAACCCTGGTATTCTCGAGTTCCATGCAGCATGTTCGCCGACCTTGGAAATGCATCGGGGAAAGCTATACCTGCCGATGCCTTCTATTTTAGAGAATCACTGCAGTTCTCTGATGCTTGGTGTTGTCGAACGACTCTACGAAGCTGATTAGCAGCATTGGCATGCGCTCAATATGGTTGCGCCGAGCTTGAGACCAATCAAAGGTGTCTAGTGAAGGGCCGTCGTCTTGGTTTGCAGATCGACGCAGTTGACAATGCGGTTCCTCCATGCACTTGCCGGGGTCAACACCCTTGTAGAACTAAAATAGCTGCGGTGCTGGCCTCGGCTACATAATACAAGTCTCTCGGATTGTCTCAAAAGGCAGGCGGATAGATAGGAATCGCGAGCGGTCAAAATTTCTTCGTCGAATGCTGGATCGAAGATCACAGTATGAGGTTTAAATTGGACGCCGTGGTCCACAGCGGCCCGCACCGGGCTCCTTCGATGCGTGAACAACTCGGTGCCTCCTCCCTTGCCCAACTGTTTTGTGCAGCCGACATGCTATATCGAGTATGTGCGCAATATAAGCTTGCAGACGCGTGTGTGAGGTGGTATACATGTCTGTCAGGATTGCACTTTAGCCAACACCAATGGGAAACGCCGCATAGTTCAAGGACAAGACGATCCGTCAGGTTCAAACTGCTTCTAAGTGGCAGTCTGGATCGCGCAATCTGACTGTGACAGCCTTGAATACATTGCAGTGCAGCAACCGCAGGCCCAAGATGGACAAGCGCTCCGGTAGGGTGATGCAAGGGAAGTCAGACAGGACGGGCCGATGCACTGTCGGTAATAGCTTCGCTTAAGACGGTAGATGACTGCGCGAGTTTGTAATGCCTTGATGTCTGATGTAATCATGGATGTAGACTAGGGTGGAGAGTTGCGCGTGAGAGAGTTGGGAGCTCGTGGTGGTCGAGACGGAGCGGAGCGACCCCACCAAAAGCCCGTCCGTGCGTCATTGCGTAGCCTCCAGTCCAAGTAGCTCTACGACAACTTGGGCCAGACATATCGCTGCACTATACTGTGCCGGAGAGTCATCATGGCCACAAAATTAGAGAAGACGATCCAGCGACAGCAGGAGAAGTAATTCGCTCCCAAACGGTAACTGTGAGCGCGCACTGACTCGACCAGAATCGCCGAAGGCCAGTTCTACGAAGCCCACCAACAACTCCGCGTGATTGCGTCGCGCTATACCAAGGCGCAAGACTGGGAGAAGGCGACATCGATACTATACTCTGGTGCACAATCGCTCCTACAAGCAGGGCAGGGCGGCTCCGGCGGCGATCTCTGCATCTTCCTCCTCGATGTCTTCAACAAAGGCGAGGTGAAGCCTGACGCAAGCAGTAAAGGCAAGCTCTTGAGCCTGCTGAGATCATTTCCAAAGGATGAGCCGACCAAGAAGAAGTTCGTGGGCGAAATGATAGGATGGAGCGCAAAGTTTGGCGAGTATCCTGCTGGCGACCCAGAGATTCACCACGTCGCCGGCACGTTACATGCTGAGGGTATGTTGACCACCCACAGTCTCTATATAGAAGAGCATATACTGACAACAGTACAGCGCTCGAGCCGTACGAAGCGGAACGCCATCTTGTCCTCGGCAACCAAGACTCGCCCTCTACGCTCGCATCCCTCGAATACTCCTGGTACGAGGCCGACGACTCACATACTGCACCCTTGTACTGCGCGCGCGGCGTAATACCCTACCTCCTCACCGGCAACCTGCGCGCGGCAAACAAGTTCTTCCTCCTTTTCACATCCTTCCTCTCTAAGAAGCCCGGCCTGAACACACAACAAATATCCACATCCGCCTCAGACCTCCGCATATACCCAACCCTACCGCTGCTGAACTTTATTGGACTGCTGTTACGGAGTGTGGAGAGGGGCGACCCTAGCTTGTTCAGGCAGCTGAAGAGCCACTATGCGACGAATCTGAAAGAGGTAAATTGGAACGAGGCACTTGATACACTGGGCGAGATGTATTTTGGCATCAAGATACCGCGACAAGGGAACCCCATGTTGGATATGTTAGGTGGTATGTTTGGAGGAGGAGGCTTCGGTGGCGGCGGTGGCGCGAAGAGCTCAGGAGCGAAAGGCATAACGCCGGCTGCAGCGGGGTTAGATTAAGAGATAGAAGTTGGGTGCTGATAGTGCGGCATGCAGCGAGGCCCTCAAGAGGAACAGGGCCGGCCATGGTCGGGCGATGGGAAATGTACGAGTTGCATGAAGTATTCGTGTGCGCCTGGCCACTCTCTGAG